ATAGCTTATAACTATGAACATAAGCTGATTTCTGACTTATAAATTAAGTTTCTCCTGCCCCACTCAAAAAATAAGCTGATTTCTGACTTACAAAAAGCTATAAGCTGCATTGTTAAGCTAAACCAAGCACATCAAAATAGCTTAAATTAAGCTGAAAGCTAAAATAAACTAAAAAAAAACTGTACCAAACAGGGCCCTTGTGAATTGAAAGCACAATTCCAACCTTAAAGTCATTTTCTTTTAAAAAATTACTTGTGCTTAGAAAACAAATTTAAAATTATTTGAATTTGCAAAAAAAAAAAAAAAAAAAAAACACTTGCATTTGGGGAAAGAAAAAAATAACCCTCAAAGGAGGCTGGTTGCAAATTTGGTGCAAAAAATGAGAGCTAGAAGCCTGACCCAAAAACTTTGGGACTTAAGGCTATGTTTGTTTAACAGATTAACTTCGGTGAGATTATGAATATAGTGAGATCGAATGAAGGGACTACTAGTATGATGATATTAAATTAGAGATATAAGATAAAGTGTTTATTTGTTTACTAGTATGATGGTATTAATTAATTATGATTAAATTTATAAAATTACATAAAAATCCTCATTATATAAATATGACTTTGTTGTTTTTTTTATAAAAAGAGAACAAAATAATCTTTTAGCATAACCCCACATATTGTTCAACTAATCTATTCTGAGAGGCCAAATAAACACGGCCTAGCAATCAAAAGTTAAGACCTAATTGCCCCGGTTGGATTTAACAATCTCCTCCTCTGATAGGCCAAACAAACATGAGAAATAATTGTACAGTGAAAATAAAAAAAAATTAATTACAAAAAATAATAACTATTATAATAATATTAAGAATCATGAAAATCTTCATAAAAATTCTTTACCATTGGATAGTTTATAGTATTTTATTATATGTTATGTAATTACTTTTGAATTATTTTGATGAAAGCTTTTCATAATATTCTTTTATGATACGTAACATTATTCTAAATATTAATAATTATAATTATAATTATATATATTTTTTAATATATAATTCTTTTTATCTGACACTATTGCACTGTAAGGATATCTTCAACGGTTCATCATTTTTTTGATCAAATTTGAGTAAGAACTTCATTTAATATCAAGTTCTTCAACGGTGGAGTTTGACCTTTCATCAAAACACCGATTGATCGGACGAACGACCGGGCGGATGTCCGGCCGATAAATTGACCAGTGTATTTTTTTCATAAATTTTTATCTAGAGGTGGTCATCTGGGGAGACAGTCGGTGGTGAAAACCCAACGACTATAAATAGTGATTTGATGAAAGCTCTAGGCATCTTCAATTTAGTGAATTTTTTTTAATATCCTTGATTTGATACTAATCTGAAGAAATCATTGAAATAAGAAAAATATTTTATTTTTTTACTAAATTTAAATTTAAGGATTGTTTGGGATGATCTAAATAAGTGTACTTTTTGACTTTTTATGAAATATGGATTGGGTATTGGTTGAATTTGAAGTGATGTAGTAGAGAGGTAATGTGACTTAAATAAGATGATGTGACTTAAATAAGATAATAATTTTTTAACTTTTTAAATTTTTTAAGTTATACCAAATAGAATCTTAATAAAAGAATTAATGAACCATTAGAGATGGTATAATGGCCCATAATAGTCCACAACTTCAAAAAAATAAAAGGGGTCTCATTTCATGAGCTTAGAATCTTCAACCAACGAGATTTGACGCTTCCATTAATGGACTTTGGACAGCAGTGACACCGGCATAATACTATGGGAGATTGAATGACGTATCCTCCACGGCATACGTATTTATTTCCAATGACGAATCGATGAATACATAATAATAGTTATTATTATGTCATAAAGATTTAGGAGTGGTTTGGAATGTTTTAAATAAGTGTATTTTTTAATTTTTTATAAATAAAAAAAAATGTAAAGTAAAGTAGAGAAAATTGATAGAAAATGAGAGAGGAGATATTGATTGATGTGTCCTAAATAAGTGTGTGTATATAAAAAAATACAATTTTTTAATGCATGCCAAACATACTTAATTAGCATTGATTCCTTTCTGAAAGTGAATTTTTTATTAATTTTACAAAAAAAAAGACATGTAAAAAATTGTAAGTATTAACTTTTTAAAATAATTTGTGTGTGTGTGTGTGTCTATTTTTAACTATTTTAGCTATTTCTCAAATATTATTTCCTTGTTGCTTAGACAGATGGTGTTGTTTATCACTAGTTCAACGTCAAAAGCTATTTCTCAAATAAAGCCATAGTCAAGTAGTACTACTACACTGATATCGTTCCATTTGGACCAAGCCAAGCTCACAACCTTCTCAATGCTGCTGATGAAAACATAACCTCAAAATATTTTAGGTAGCAGGTACATTATATGGTCAAAATGATGTAATATATCATTTTATTCATTAATTGACGTGCAATAAAAATAAAATTTGAGGAGCTACTTTATGTTTAGTCGAAGTTACTAATTGTTCCTTCACATTAAACTTTGATTTTATTTTTTATTATATGTCAATTGATGAATAAATTCATAAAATTATGTTATCTCAACCACATGAGATACGTAGAATTTCCGCTCCCATTGTTGCTGTTAAGCCTCTCTTGTGTTAAGTTTTCAACCATCATAGTGCTGCAATGTCTCCCAACCATCTTACCTCAATTTTTTTTTGGGGGTGTATGTCTCTAGGGTTCATTTGTTGGTCTAGTCTGTGACTGTTTACGTGGTCATCTCACAAGGATGTAAATCACGATTTTTTTTCCCGAAAATTTCAAACATCCAACAAAACCAACACATTGGCAAAATCCAATATATCTGTTGCCATTTTTTCACAATTTCAAAATGTTTTGCTATTTTCTGATATATGGACTGTTACATCTCATATTATTTAATTTTAATTCACAAATATTTATATATATTTGTCTCATCGATTATTTTTTGATATTGTTGTGATTATATGTTAGAGCATGCAGAGTAAAGAGAATAGGCAACGGCCTAACCTGTTTTATTGCCCATGGACTCGAACCCCATCCCTCTGTCATGTGAGAATGCCCTTTTCATTCTCCCTATCAAATTTTATACACTCTGGCTCTTGCCTCCTTATTATTATTATTATTATTATTATTATTTGGGTTCCTTTCCCTCTTTTTTGTTTTTCTTTCTTGTTTTTGCCTTTAATATACTTAATGTTATTCTTTTTCTTTGTCGTCTTTTGGTCATGGGTAGAATTGCACACAACTCAAAATCAACTCATTACATAAATAAGCCCCGCCAAGCTCAAAATAAATAAAATAAAAGAAGAAGATTATAAACAAAATATAAGAGAATGCTCATATTATTAATAAATTTCATTAATTAAATATGTAAACTTTCACAAACACCAAACATAATCAAAAAAATAATATATAATTGATATATTAGTAAAAATAAAAATTAAATTATCTATTTTTGTGTTCACAAGCTTATTCGAGCCGAGATTAGTTGGATTCAAGTCTGGCTGGATTACTAAAATTTACTAACTAGCTGCCTAGGATATTTTTGTGTAGTTGTTTTACGCGCACACGCGATATGAGACTTCAAAACACTTTTTGTTTCAGTCCAGCAGCATCGTCCAATACTAGACTTACAAAGCCCAGCCCGTGGGTTATGATGATTCAAAGGGGAGGAAGAAAAAAGAAGAGTTCAAAGCTCTCTAAAAGTTAACATTGTGAGGCTCAATTGGCTGCCGCTGCAGCCATAGGATGGAAATCGGATTTTGTGGCAAATCTTTTAACACAATTACTAAGGGGGGCATTTATAAGAGACCCCCTATAAAAAGAAAATTGCTTGGAAACCCACCCTAAATCCACCCTTACAGACCCCGAATTTACCCTGAATGTGTTTGTGTGGTGAATATTGAACTGATGAAGTGTGAAATTCACATATGAAGTAAATTCGAGCTATTAATTACTTTTTCTAGATAAATTTTGAGTTGATAAGGATATGTTTGTAATGTTGTTTCTATAAAAAGCCAGAAGCAGAGGAAAGGCACCAACTAAGCAATACATAAAACCCTGACTCTCTATCTAAGATCTCACTCTCCGTCCCTATTCTTGAATGCTCAAAGATTGTCATCAAAACTAGTATATGCGTAACTTAAGAATCAGAGGAGCAGCGTTGCACCCAAGGTTCACTTTTTCTCTCCTTCCTATTTTGAAGTCATATGGTTCAAGATCATCAGTTGGATTTGCTTCTTCTTAGAAGCTTTACTTTGTCCTTTACCAGCATCACCGCTCTGAGCTTTCAACTCTCTTTATTGCCAACAGAACAGAGAGAGATGGCACATTTTTGGTATTGCTTTTGTTTTTTGTCCTTAAAAATAAAATAAAATCTCACACGAAAAACTTATTTAACAACCTGTTTTCAAAACAAAAAAAACAAAAACAAAAACAAAAATCTAAAAATGCCACCCTTTTATTAAACAATTTAAAGTTGTTTTTATAAATTTTGAAAATTTGATTTCGCACGAAAATGAAAACTAGGGATTGTTTTCATTTTTATTTCCAAGAACACGAAAATGGAAGAAGGAAAACAAAATTATTAAAAATGAAACAATATCAAACCTTAGTTTCTGTGGAGTATATCCTAGCTCTCTTCTTTCAAGTAATCCAAAGATCAATTTTACATCTGCTAGCTTTAAGTACTTACATCACTCGTGACTACCTTTTCCCCAAGATAATGCCTTCTGAAACTTGAAATAACAGCTCAACCCAACACAACATCCAGTCCAGCGTCTGTTATGCGCTCAGCGAAATTCTGTTTTAGCAGCCACCAAACAACTAGTTCAGCAAGACTGCTAGCGAGTTTGTGATTCACCAGCTTTTAAGAATCATGAAATCAAAATCAAATCATTCTGCTAAATAAATCCCAAAACCAAAATCTCATTTTCTTGGCACTAATTATAACACCACAATGAGTCCCTACCAAATATATGTTGGCCAACAATTCCAAACTTTTATTGCAGAGGAACTAGCACTACTTCAGATGGAGAAAAAAATCGAATCTTTTATTGAACATCCAATTCTACATTTTCTCAACACTGAAGCTAATTCATCTGTGCAAAAGTTACATCACTCTTTTCCTTTATTCAGCATCAAAGTCTACATTTTCTCGTCACTAAAACTAATTCACGTGTGCAAAAGTTACATCCCTCTTTTCCTACCACCCATAAATCTGGCTGGACTAAACGGACTGAGATCAACAATACTAGAACAACCGTCAACCACAAGCTCTGCAACGGCAGCCCCAGTAGCTGGACCATTTAGAATGCCCCAACAATTGTGCCCGGTTGCCACATAACGTCCCTTCACTCCCGGAAGCTCCCCAATTACTGGCACACTATCATCAGTGCATGGCAAGAAGCAAGCTTGCTCCGCTTTCACTGTAGCTTCCCCTTCCCCTAAATGGCTTGACACGGTCCTTGCAACTCTCTTAAGCACTGCGATTGATTCAGGGTTCCCTATCACCTGTTCCGGATCATCCGGTACCTCAACTTGAGCTGACATTCCGCATATGTACACCTCCCCTATCAATTTGACCAATCAAATAAGAGAATCATAGCTTTGCATTCAAGATTTTCTTGATCCAGATAACTAGAGTGCTCATCAAGCGTTTGGTTGCCAAGAAATTTTTGAAAGCATATTTACAATGACTCGATACAATTTCATAGCTATGAAGTCCGATTGCACAATTTGCTAGGTTGAAGTTTTTTTCCTCTATTTCCTTGGTTAACAAAAGACAATATGCTTCTAGGCCTAAACAGTGTTTGGTTTAAGAGCATCAAGTGTTTGGTTTAAGAAAATTTTGAAACCACATCAACTAGTTACAATTTTCCTTTATTTCTTTGGTAAACATAAGATACTGTTTCTAGGCCTAAATGTCGTTTTTTTACTCAGATTTTCACAGAAACAAAGAAACATATAACTTGAGCATACATTTTTCTTACCAATTTCCCCACATTTTCTCAGCAACCAAACAATTAAGACTAATAATAAATATAATCCAAAACATATGGTCAGTAAACATACCAGTGGGACGAGGGTAGACTTCAGGATCCATAGGCTTCCCTCCCTGGGCCGCATAGTAAGTGAGAAACAGAGCATGAGGCGAAATCGCACCAGGTTCTTTAGGCTCCAGTACTATACTATGCGCCTTCAGCCCATACACTCTGAAAATCGATGACAGAATTGACAATTTACCAGACCACGGCCCAAGTGCCAAAACCACCGCATCGGCAACAATTTCACGACCTCCCTCCAGCAACGCTGCCCTCACTCCGCCTCCCTCCACCGCCACGCTCTCCAATTTCCCGATCACCACCTCAACTCCATGCTCCTCCACCGCCTTCGTCAGTAGCGTTCGAGTGAATAGCTCGGGGTGAACTTGGGCCGTGGTGTTGGTGGTCCCGATGGTTCTAGGGTTTCGGGCTGGACCGTCGACCCAAGAAGGTAGAGATTGGGTAGGGTTTTGGGGGTGGGGTGTTTGGGATTCGGTGATGGTGAGGCTGAGGGTGGTGAGGGGGCGGTAGCCGTAGGATTGGGGGCCGTCGAGGTCTTGGGCGAGGGAACGGTGGAGATTGAAGCTGGCGCGGGCGAGGGAAGAGAGCGGCCCACCGTCGCACCAGTCGATGGCGAGGAAGCCGCCGGCTTTGCCGGAGGCGGCGCAGGCTATAGATGATTTCTCAACGAGGGTTACGGCGGCGCCTTTCTTGGCTAAGAAGTAGGCAGTGCAGACTCCGATTACTCCGCCGCCGCAAACCACCACTCGCTGCCTCTGCTGCTCCTCCATGGCCTCTGCTTCTGCTGCTGCTGCTGCTGCTGATGATGATCGAATCAGGGTGATGTTGGAGATTCTAGAATTACGAATTTGCCTGAGTGGTGGACCGGGCAAGACAAGCGGTTCAACCCGTGATGTCGCCAACATCTCTTCTCTTACGGGAAAGATTATGGTATATATGTATTTTATAATTATATAAGAAAATGAAATAGTTTTTTACTTTTTAAATCATAACTTAAAAAAAAAAAAATTTATCAGTTATAATTAAATATTTTAAAATAATATCATAAATAAAGAGAAAATTAGTTATAGTTATAATTTAAAAAAATATTTAACTAAATTCCCATATGATATAAGGTGTGTGTATAACGGAATTTTCCTCTTTTTTTTTTGGGATAAGTTTTTCTCCATACTTTATTTCTTTATATTTTTTAATATTTTTTTTATGGGTTTAAATTTAGACTCACATGGATGATCTGAACCATCTATATCGTAAGGCCCCCAATGAAGGTTATTTGTGTAAAAAATTAGTTTTATTAGACAATTATAAATATGAGAATAAATCACATTTTATTTTATAAAATAAATGATTTAAATTTAATTATATTTATTATTCATTTTATAAAATAAAATATAATTTATTTTTGTATTTATAATTTTTTGTACAAATAAATTTTGTTGTAAAAATTATGAGATAAATAGTTTAAATCATTAATAAAAATCTAAATTAAAATCCATAAAAATATAAAGAGTTGCGAAGGGATAAGATACGGAGGTTCTCTTTGGGATGTTCGTGGATTGGTTTCGTGCGGTTTGTGATTCGATTTTAATCCGTCCGTATCTATGCGGTTTGGAAAAAAATTAACCTGCAACCGCCGCAGTGCGGTTTGTGTGGATAGGGTTTGTAGATGTGCGGGCAGTTTGCGGTTTACACTTTTTTCTTTAAAAATTAATTTTTGATTTTTTTTTTCCGTCGAATTTAGGCATCAGATTCATTTTATATATTTGTAATCACTTGACAACAATTTTCTGATGAGTTTACAAATAAAAATTGAATATCAATGCATTAAATGAAAGTACCCAAAATAAAGATGTATATCAATGCATTAAAAAATGTATATCAATGCATTAAAGGTTGTATTCAATTAGAATTGCCAGTTCAGTAATTAATAATCAAACTAGAAGTTCTATCGACCACCAGAAGGAAAATTTTATTAGGAAAAAATGGATAAGTGAGTCACCAATGAAATTCATATAAAAAACCAAGTTTAGGACTTGATAATTCTACGGCATTAAGAAAGTTGAGAAATATTTAAAAATAAAGATCCTAGTGTTATAGAGAATATAATGGTTCTTTTATTAAACTTAAAAAGTTGGTATATAAATAATAATAATAATTATTATTATTATTAAAGTGCGGACAGTTTTTGTGGGTTGCGAGTTTAACCTACGATCCGCTTACAACCTGTAAATTTGTCATATTTCAAATTACACTCATCTACATTATATTTAAAAAATTACCTATTTATATACGGAGTGAGCGATTCAAATATACCATTGCCCACCCCTAACTTCTCTTATGCTTCTACAATGAGGGGTTCGTGTGGAGGGAACGCGTGGGTTCTCTCATTACATACTTCTAGAGTGAGCAGTTTTTTTGTTTTTTTGTTTTTTTTGAGGTGATATAAGGCGGTTAAGTTTGGGCGTCACGGACATACGAGGCTTGTAACAAATTCCAGCCCATAATGGGTAAGTGGGTTAGCACAATTTGGAGCCTTAATATGGGCCTCTATTTCCTAGGCCGCCCTCGGTAGGAAGAGAAAATGGAGAACATAAATGACATGTCACACACTCACACCCCTTTCTGTTTGACCAATCTTTAGACTCTAGCTCCTCACTCCAACTCTGGGCCCATGCCCATAAATTATTGAACCAGCTTTTGCTTTTTTAGTCTGGGCCTCTTCAAAAAAAAGATTTATTCGAGAACATTTTTTAAGCATTAACCTTCATCAAAGCCCAAACTTGCGTTTATGTCTAAAAGAAAAGTAAATGTGCATCTGCTTTTTTAAAATAGATAGGGACAAATTTGGTAATCACTAAGGTGTTATTTGATAACACTTAAGTTTTATATTTTCTATTTATATTTATAAAAATTTTAAAAAATTAAATAAAAATTTGTTTGGTAAAATTTTTGATTTATAAATCAGTTGTCTCAGTTTATAAATTTGGCCAAAAAATGAAAACACAAAAAATGTGTTTTCATTTTGAGTTTTCAGTTTTTATTTTATTTATTTATTTATTTTTTTACCACCCAACACTAGCCACCACCTGCCACCATTTTCCACCACCGTCTTCCGCCACCACCACCCACCACGCCGCCACCATCCACCTCACTCACGAGCACCACCACTCACTTGCCACCGCACCCACTCACACCACCCACGACCACACCACCAGCCCATCTGCCACCACCGCTACTATTTCCACCACGTCTATCCGCCACAGACCACACCACCCACTCGCCACACCATCCACCCTCACCAGCACCACCAGCACACCAACCACCTCAAGCAGCACTGTACCTGCCATCCCACCGCCACTACCAATCCACCGGCCCTGCCACTACACCACGCACCTACTTGCCACCACCACTCATACACAACCTGCTATACCCACCACGCACCCAGCCACCACCTAAGCACCACCACCTGCCTGCCATGTCCCACTCGCACCCACCCGCCACCCCGCCACCACCACTACCCACCACCACCAGCACTTCGCGTACCAGAACTATCACATCGCCACCTTGTCACACTACCGCACCCGCCCACTGCAACCAACCGAACCCACCACCCACACTCCGGCTCAACCACCCGCCTCACCAACCACCACGCTACCGCATCCGCCAACCACCCATCTCTCCACCACTCGCACCCAGCTGACCCGCACCAACCAGCCCCCACCTTGCACCACCCGCCACCCGCACTACCACCGCCACCCAAACCACTACCACTCGTGCCACCCACGGCCACCCCGGCCACCACCCGCATCACCCGACCACCGCGCCGCACCTCCGCTCATCGCCAACCCATCCCATCCCTGCCACAACCACCCCATACGCACATCGCACCACCCACCCACCCAGCCCACCTGATCTCCTTACCCTCCTGGACCGCCCACCACCCTTACCCACCAGGCTTCTACCGTCGACCACTTCTTCCACCAGGTCTGGGTCCCCCGCTCGCCACTGTCATTTCTCTACTCTTTTTTTATATTTTAAATTTTTTTTTAAAACATTTTGCAAATTACGCGAAACGCGTTTGTAAGTTATTAATGTTCTTCTAAAAATAAACAAAAATCCAGTTTATAACATTTTTTATAATAAATTATTACTTTTCCTGAAAATTCGTAAACCCTCGTATTACCTAACACCACATAAAACTTCCTCAATATTTTAAAATCAATATATAAATATTATATAATAAATAATGACAGCTAACAGTTGCAAATTTGTGAAACTGGTAACAGGTTATGAAAGACAGCTGCTGCAGTAAACAAATATTCCACAATTATTTGATTAAATGAAAAGAAAACATAAAAAATATAAAACCATAGTATATTACACTACTTTTGTAACCAATAATCTATAATTTAGTCCAGTGTAAAGGAATTTTGTCCTATGTTTCATTCAACGTCTAAGTTCAAGTCTCTTCATAAGGATTATAAATGAGTTTAGCACTATCTTACCTTAATGCTTCAAAAATATACCGGATAATTAGCTTTCAGTCTTGATAATAGGTGCATGTTGATGTTCAGTAATTAGTCTGTGTAGTATTTATTCACCGACTAATTTTCTTAGAATTGTGTTAATAACCTATCTACACAGCTATTTTCATTAAAAAAAAATAAAACAACAACAAACTAATTTCTAGCTGCTTTGCATATTCCTGCTGTCATACTGTCTCAATTTCTATTATTGATAATCATTGGAGCTCCAAGTGGGGAACTAGTGGGACTGGGACATCAGCTGCATTTTACCATATATAATTCATCACTTATCCATGCAATTTTTCAACTACTATTTAAGTCTTAAAGCCCGCTTTGCGATGCTCATTTGGATTAAAATAGTTATATGGGATAAAGTAAGTTATTTTAGTTAAATAAGATAAAATATTACATTTAATTCATAATAATTTTATTTTTTTCTCTCACAAAAATTAAAAAAAACTCATTCCAAACAAGACATTTTAACTCTAAACAAAAATAGTCAAAAAATCAAAATGTCAACTCACATCCCAAACGAATCCTTAGTGCTCACGTTGTAAGCACTCAACAATGCTACTTAAAGAAAATACTTAAAAAAATCAATGCATTGTTGGTAGCAATGCACTTATTTTGCTGGACTGTGGGCTCTATACTTAATTAAAAATTGGGTGAATATGATACGTGTGTAGAAATATAACACGATTTCAATAATCATTTGAAGAAAAAAAAATTGAATGTAGATGGAGAAGAAACAACTTGAAAACATTTAAAATTTAAAATAGAAATTTGAACTGTCACATAGGGGTTATTTGGATCTTAAAAAATACATAAAATAAGTTCACACCAAGTAAATTGTGTGTTCTTGTTAGCTTATTTTTCTTACGAAGGAAATGACCATAAATGCGAGTGTGTCAGAAATGATTGAAAAATCATTACAGATTAAATTTAAGTTAATTATCAAATGATTGTGTTGACGGTTCTTTTGCCTCAATGAAGAGAACTTTAAAATTGCCAAGTGTAGAGAAAATAAAAATTAAAAGAAGAAGGAAGAAGATAGAGAAAGATTATTGAGTGAATAATCGGGGTGATTGAGTGAACAATCAAAGTAACAATTAATTACCTCTACTCCTATGCTTTGAAAAGGAAGTGCATAAAATTACCTCTATTCCTATGCTTTGAAAAAGAAGTGTTAAAAATAAAGTGTAGGAAATATAAATGACAATAAAAATATAAATCAATTATCTTTTATTTGAGTTCTCAATCTTTACAATGTAACCATGAATGACTATTTATAGGCAAACATTTGTAGGAAAAAACTACATAAAACTATCTTCCACCTCCTTTATTTCATACTCCATGATCTTCCATAATTTCTTTCAACCTCTACTTCATACTCC